CTGGCCCGAGTCTTCCTTCGCCTCCATACATGACTTCCACTGCTCTGCTTATGCATTCGAGGGAGCTAAAATGTAAGAAAGAAGACCGTCAGACGCAAATGCCCTTGAATGCATGAGTCATATTTGTCCCAAATGAACGAATCTGACTCTGAGTAGCCCCATAAGTGCTTTCAACGTACAGTCTGCCAATTCAAACACAATGTGTCATGGATTAGTCTGCGAATAAACTGAGCGACAGATGGTTTGATAATGGCGGCAAATGTGAACGAAAATGCTACAGCGTCATACATCTCAACAAAACTATTTTATTGTCCGACTGGAAACAAATAACAACCTTGGCATTTGGGTATCACATCGACTTGATTTGTTAACTGTTTTTTTTTTCTAATGTATTATTCCAAATAGGGACCACCCTTTACATTCTGATCAGAATATTTTTGCGCATGCATTCCACCGCCCAAAAAGTGAAATGCACATAACAGGGCCTTTAAAGCTACCGTAGTTGTGCAAAGGAATTCAAATCATGGCTCAAAGATCACGCAAAGGACACTTCTTCATTTAGAAAGATAATGTTTACTGGGCAACGCGGTGGGTGAGCTCGTGGTTAGCACATATGCCTCACAGTGATGAGATTCTCAACCCCAGGCTTCCTGTGGGGAGTTTGCATTCGGTCCCCATGATTATGGGCGTTTTTCTCCGGGGAGGCCAGTCTGGCTACACAAAAGGCTGCAGAAAGCCTCAAAACAAAACTACCGCTATTTTCAATGGCTCAAGGACGCTCACATAGAAATTCTTCTTTGGGTCGAAAAATGATTTGTGGGGCAGGTTTTAGGATGACAAATCGGTCTTTCAAGTGGAAAAGTGAAACGGCGAGAGCGCCTGGCACCTTCTAGACTATTGCTATCGATAATGATTTCCCCGTCAGTGTCTCCCGAACCTTTGGGGAGAGCTGTTTGCTAACCAGTCCCGCGTCTCGCCCCGTGAGCGTCCTGCTGTTCCATAATGAGGCTCTCCGAGAGGATGCCTGAGACGGGCGAGGCCGGCCGGGGCTTGTTGAGCTGCTCAGGCTCTCTAATTGGCGGAATGACACTTGGACACTTTGGCAGCCTCGCCGCCGAGGTGATTCGAATTAGTAACTGAAAAGCACCAATTAAAATAAATCAACATTGCTCTAAAAGATACAATTAATCATTGAAAGTTTAAGGGACAGACAACAAGACAGACCGACACAAGAAACATTTGCTTATCATAACGGCTAAATCATTTTTTTTTTTTAAACATCAGACCTTATAGCGTGGTCAAACAACACTGAAACCTATCACTTAGAACGACCAACATGCATGTGATCTGCACTCTAGCGGTCATCGTAATCATAAAGTAGCGTAATGGAGGAAATTTACAGCCTGAATAGCAAGAGAGTAAGTATAGGGAGGAAGTCTGGGTGGGAAGTGGGTTGGCTAAACACTGATCATTATAACCATGGCAACACAAGTCAACAAAACCGAAAGGATGCTGCAACTCGTGACATATTTGTGGAGCTTTTTCATGTTGCTAATTGTCTGATTTGGATGAAAATTGTTTTGGCGTAAATAAATTAGAACATACCTATAAAGCCTTCCAAAGTTAATATTAAGCTATAAATTACTCAGCCGTCGCGGTCAGTTGTCACCTTGGCATCATATGATATACTGTAGCTGTGTGCATGATGTTATTTACAATACGTATTCATTATACGACTCAGTGTTTGCGGAACAGGGGGTAGTGCAAGCCAAAACTTTCATTTCTTATAAGGCCTCACGGGGGAAATAAAATGGAGCATTAGAGCCCTGGCTGAGGCTTATTTACTTTTCCATGAATCCTCCGACTGGGTAATTGACAACTCTGCAGGGCTGACTTTACCCGGGCAAGGAAAGCAAATATCAGCCATGCGCGACGAAGAGAAGCCCAGAGGGAGCTAAATACCCGCCGAAACACTCGAGCGTATACGGCGGCAGTCAGACGGTTTTTATACAATCTGTCTGCTCATGTACCGTGGCGATGGCGCTTCCTTTTTGGTTTGCTTTGAAGAAGTCACATCTGCAATATGAGCAGGTCATGCCACTTTGCTTTGGGGAAACTGTCTGAATTCATCGAACAAGTGAAGGAGCCATATTTTGAGGGATCTGTCACCAAAGTGTGGGATGGGAGCATTTACACGCCAGCAATTTCGCAGAACATCATCCTTACTTTGAAACTGGTTCTGGGAAAACGAGTTAAGGTTTAAGATGCAGTGGCTTCGCTGTGGTTCCTCTGTTGTGTGTTTTTCACTTCAAACCAAATCGCAAAGGGCCTCATCTCAAAATAAAAGCAAGAAAGTGAACTGAAGAACGGCATCCAAATCTGAAGAAAAAGACATCAAATTTCCAAAATGGATTAGCTTATGCTGGGGTCTGGTTTGTCATCAAGGGAACATATTTGAGTTTCGGAAAATTGTCGGGGCTAACCAAACTTGAGAACTGCAAATTACACTTTGGATCTGGTTGTGACAATGTCGCCATTTTAATGCAAAGCCACCCCCGCAGAGCTGCTGAGACATTACATGTCGACACCCTCAAATGACCGCATATTTGGCAGACGCGCTACGGGGGCGAAGTCTGTCAAAAGTGAAGCCCCCGTCGGAATTCAAGCTGACATGAGGAAAGAAGAATTGGAGTAAAGAAAGGGACTAACTCCTCCTCATATGTCCAAAAAGAAGCTGTGACAACAAGAGACGAAGGTGCCAACCCATCTGACAGCCAGCAAGCCAAAAAAAGCCCACACCAACAGTAGGTGCCGCAATGAAAAATAACAAGCTTCTTTGGCTCAGCAAACACAGCTCAATCTTGGAACCGAAGGGCAACCGAAAAGTACAAGAGTATGCGAACAAGACACGACTTTATTTATTTATTTATTTATTTTTTTAACTTCACAACAACCAGTGACAGTGGCTGAAGTTGTCCATCCATAGTCTCGTTTACGACTACGACTGTTTGTTTATTGAAACTGAATTCCATAGAACAGCAGGCGGCTTTGAAAGGCATTCACATGGGCCTCGCAACTGTTTGCACCCTTACATGCAAGCAAAACTGTACATGCATGTTCCCTTAGCCCATTTAGACCATTTATGTAACTTTTCCAATGTGTCATCCGCATGGCGATGGATTGAACTACCTCAGAAGACAATTTGACCACATTTGAGTTTGGTGTTTCCACTGAATTTGAAAATGAATTGAAACACCTCACCTGAGCCGATCTTCCTCCTTCTTCCTCAGCTTCATGTCCCGTTGGACAACTTTCAGGACATGTTCGGCCTCGTCGTCCGTCAGGCCGGACAAGTCGAGCCTGCGGCCCATCTTCACCGGGCTTGCCACGCTGGGCCGCTTGTGGTCCAACACAGGATGATGACGATAACGAAGATGAGGAGGAGGAGGAGAGGCACTCGTATCCTATTGGCTGGTACAATCCTGGAGAAAGACGAAGGGGGAGCAGACTCTTAAAATGTGATATGAGTTTGACACTTTTTTTTTTTTTTTTTAAATTAATCATGCAACATTGTGGCTTCTATGATAGGTAAGGGATTGGATACTTGTCATCTTTGGAAAGGCAGAATTTTTGAAGGAGCTCTTGTATTGGGTCTCATTAAAACGTTCTGGCCGATGAGTTCTTCCTCAGGATGGGGGGGGGGGGGGGGGGGGGGGGGGGGTGGCGAATAGCTCAAAAGGGGGAAAGTGAAGGAAGGATGACAACAAGCACACAGAAAAAAGACAAGAGGAAGGGCGCTGCAGAGACTGATGAGTCCATGGCTAGAAGTAGAAGGTCCATTAAGCACAATGTCCAAACAAGATGGGAGTGCACTTGCAGAGTGACGATGACTCAGAAGGCGAGACAATTATGCTTGATCTATTATTGGCTTGATGGCTTCATCGGCTAAGTGCCTCCTCCAAAACGTATATCACTCATTCCTTGAGTTGTCCCATCTTAGAGGAAATGATATGCCCACTTTGCCCACCTCCCAAAAAAAAAAGAAATGAATAAAAGCAATACTTGGCGTAGGTGTGTGTTTTTTTTTCTTCAGCTTCCCATCGCTATTCATTTTGCATTAAGCCATTAGCCTCAAAATGCAGTGATTCACAACCAGTGTGCCGTGGCACAAAAGTTTTCCGTGAAGGATCATCAGGTGTGCCACCTTATCCAGTGTTAGTTATCTGGACGAAAACTATTTATTTTCTGTGAAAAAAATGTTGATGTCGATTTATTTTGGCAAGCACTGATAGTAACTGGCAGAAGAGAATGCCCTTCCACGAGATGACAGAAGGTACACAATTAACCCGTGTATTCACTTTTTGGGAATCGTTTGGCTAAGTGGTGTGCCGTGACATATTTTCCCATGGGAAATACGTGCCTTGGCTCAAGCGCTGATGTCAAATTGCTTTCAATTGACCGCGTGGCGTCATTTTGCAGAGAAAGCATCTCTCAATATTCTTCCTCAAACCATCATCCTATTTCAGCCTAACAGATTTCTCATTTGGGGGCTTGCGTGAGTCATTTGTTTTGGTTGGGAGTGTTAGCGTCATGGCAAACCGACAAGGACACACACGTAAAGAGTGAGGGAGCCTGTGACACATTGTCAGCTCTGGAGAAGACAAAAGCGGCAACATCTCGGCATATCGGGTGTCAGGCAGCGTGCGGTGTAAATAAGGACGGTCGCCGTGGCATTCACATACGCTCCTCGCTCGGCCGCTGTGATGAGAGACTTTGGCCTTTGCCTCGTGAAAAGGCCAACTCTGACACAGTCATATTTCACAACTGTTACACACACTCGGCGACACGTGCTTGTACACAGCAAGCAAACAAACACAGCCAAGGACTTGCGGCGCTGGAGCTGCGCCCCACGACGTCATCAACAAAGTAATGGGGAGGACTCGTGTATTCTTCCTGCGGCGGGGGGAATGATTGGTTTTAACCCTGGAATCCCTGTCAGAATGTTTTGAACTGCTATTTTGACACCAGCGGTCTCAGAGTGAGAAATTTCTGCAGTGGAGGTCTGTGCCGATGTAGTGGGTGTGATGTAATATTAAAGATAGGAGCCGAAGACGACAACTCTGGCCGAGAGTGTGTCAAAGCAATGGCCCACATGCAGGCGTACCCCCAAGACGCGGGGTCACCAAATCTGGTCCTCCGGGCCCCTACCCCTGCATGTTTCTCCTTAAACTGGTCATTTGACTCAGGTGTGCTGGAGGAGGGACATATCTAAATCACATGCAGGACAGGGGCCCTCAAGGACCGGAGTTGGTGACCCCTGCCCTATAAGGCATGACACGAGAGCAATCTGAAAGACACTTGGTCAAGTGCTATGGGCCTCAAACCATACCATCGCACCCTTGTCGTGCTGTCCGTGCCTCGACTCTTTGCATTTTCATTGAGGATTAGCATGAGTGTCTCATAGCATTGCTACCATAATAGCCCGAGTAAATCAGTCACGGATCCCGCTATCAGGCCCTTCTAGTGAAGTATGCACCGATACACAGCAGCTGCATAGAGTAATGAGAGGACCAAGCAGTCCAGCAGGGTACGGTCTCCATGACAACATGAAAGGAACATGCTGGAAGAAGTGAGAGCAAGTCTGACGACTTATTCAAATGAGTGTGAGGCTTCTATAGCGGCTTTAAGGAAGATCGGAGACGCTCGTTCATATATATTTTAAGTCCTTCCTGTGCAGGAAACAATTGCTGCTGTTGTTTTGTTTTACGACTTCATTTGGAGGCAATATTTAACTCTAAAATTCAATCATGTAACACGTATGCAATATTCACAACGTCGTAGTTATCGAAAGCTTTGACGAGACGAAGAACAAATGCCAAAACACTCCGATAAGACACTTGTTTTGGAAACGAAATGAAAAATGTCCCATCACTTTTATTGTATCGAATTCACGGCATTTCACCATGTGAGTGAGGAAAGGATGCCAACCATACACCAGCTTGAGCTAAAGCGTGCTCATGACGCCGGGCATGAAAGAACGGCAGGTGCGGCCATGCACAAAATGAACTGCTTGTTTGAACCAACTCTGTTGGGTCAGCTGGTAAAAGTCACAGCGTCGAACGTACATTGAGCGCAACAGTCTGAGCACTCCTTCAGCAAAATGACGCGAGGATCCTTACAATTCACGTAAAAAAAAAAACGTTTTTGCGGCCGGAGGAAATGACTCGATTATCTGAAAAATGCTGAGCAACCTCAGTGATTCAGGAATGAGTCATCCAATTGATTTTGAACCATATCCAACACGAGGATGGCTGAGGTTCAAAGTAGATGACTCCAAGTCCATAACCGGTCAAAGCGTCAGAGAATTAGTGTCCTGCATCGATTGATTTCATGCAATATAAAGGTGAGGGATAGGTCAAACTCTGGAGTGTTAGGCCCAAGATTAAAGTCAAGCCTTCTCGCCCTGTGTCAGCTCCCGGGTCATTTTTCATTTACATACATGAACAGTTTACAACGTAAGTTCAAAACGACAAGTCAAAAGGTTTGCTGAGAAAAAGGGGCCTCCAGACTATACTTATTCATTCCAGCAAGGAGATTAAGTCCCACACGTCTGTTGCTTGCCTTCGGTCTGTGTGATTACACCAAAACTGGGTGAAGGGTGCCTTTGGGGCAGGTTAATAACCAGCCAAAACCGACCGAACTGAACTTAAACTCACAACATCAGATAAACTTAACCAATATAATGTAGCAGAACACAGACCAGACTTGATTTATGTTACAATCGCACAATTTGATGAGATTCAGTGCACATTGTTTGTTTCGCAAATTTGACACTCGGTCCATCAATGTTATCGTCACATTTAAAAAAACATGATCGTTGTGGTGGCGAATATGCACCGCATACTTGATTATCAGATATTGGGTGCCGATGCATGTCATAATGTTGACAACCACCGCAAAACAAAAGCTTGGCGATGGGATGTTGTATCCACTCTGCAGTGATGGCAGAGTGTTGTCAACAGGTAAGCGGCGACCACAAACAAATCAACTGTGCGCCTTGTTCACCCAAATCTCCACAAACACTCTGCGCCGGATTTTCAGCTTGCATTCCTGAGGGTTTATTCTTCTGAAACAAAACATGACTTTGTTTTTTCTTCAAAGCTGCAGGTCATTTCACCAATTCCAGAAGCAATTCACAAACACATGCGCTGGATCATTTTAAAGCCCCCCGTGTCCTCCCTCCTCCTCATCTCGGCTACCGCCAGCTCCACGCCATGCACATTTTCACACGCCCCCTTGCTAAATGACGCATTTTTATCTTACTTTTTTTTTTTGATTTAAAAAAGGAGCAGCCGCGCACTGCCACATTAGTGCTGAGAGCGTGTGACATCGGCGTGATTTTAGCACCACGGGAAAAAAAGGAAACGCAAGGTTGCTCGATCGCACTTAGGAAGAAAAAAAAAGTAAAATCATCACTGACGTTAAACATACCCGCATGCAAAGCTGCAATGATAAGCTTGTGTTACACCCATGCTGAGAGGCAATCACACCCACACATGCACACAACAAAATCATCTATGAGTCCATCGCGCAGAGGCGACTTGTTGTGGATCACTTACGCGGAATCAGCCGGTACCGGTGGACGACCGGCCACTCTCTCCCCGTTTCTCGTCCGGGCCAGCGTTAACTTCCACAACACCTGCCTGCACCCCTCCTAATTTCCCCTGCCTCCCCCTCTCGGCCTGTACGCCTTCTCATTTGAGAGGCAGACGTTTGCAGAAGTGAATGGGTGATCACGAGGTTTGTATTACGCAGAGAAGGAGGGGGAGGTAAGGAGGAGGGGGAGGGTGGGGAGGCGAGGAGAGGCGAGGTGAGCGCGGGGGTTGGCACACAACCTGTTTACCGGCTCGTTGAGTGGCTGTGTGTCATGAAAGTGCTGGAAAGCGCATGCAATTGGTCAGAAAGGGGCTGATGTGATGGATGTTGGCACCCGTGCTCAAGATTGTTGGCACCGCGAGGAAGCGGGGGAGCAAGAAGGAGGAGGCTGCCTTGGCTGCCTGCTTCATTCACAAAGACGCTCGCAGTGCAATTAGCTGCCAGGCAGGAATGAAGACATCCCAATTAATCTTGCACCAATGAGTCACTTTTAGATCATGTTAGAGAGGAATCAGTGAAAACGGCCTCTCTCGCTATCGATATTTAAGCCCACAATAAAGGCTAACAAGACAGCACGGTGGTGGACTATTGGTTAGTACGTCGGCCTCACGGTGCAGAGGTGCGAGGTTCGATTCCGGCTCCGGCCTTCCTGTGTGGTATTTGCATGTTCCCCCTGTCCCTGCGTGGGTTTCCTCCCACATTCCCGAAAGACACGCCAGTGAGCCCTCGTGAAGAAAAGCGGATTCGAGAATGGATGGATGCATGGATAGATAGATATACTCATTAATTATGTATATCTCACCATCTTAGTGAATGCTTCAGACAACAGAAACCCAGTAAGGAGAAGGAGCCAGATGGAGAAGCATTGCATGCGCCACTGACAAATTGAAGAAGTGTCTGACATGGAGAAAACATACCAGTGGCTGGAAAAGGCAGAAGTGGAGGACAGCACGGAGGCACTAATCATGGCAACACAGAAACCGGCCCTAAACACAAGATCAATAGCGGGTGGAGTCGACCACATCAGACATATGCGGGCACACTCAGCTAAGTGGATGGCTCTTATGGCCTCGCCCTGCCCTGTTGCAGTGCTACTGCGAAATAGCAACTGATTTGTAAATGAGGGCTACGAGAACACTGTTTGTCATTTTTAAGGTTTTGTTGGATGTTGTTCCTTGGACGCGGTGGTTTGTTGTATATCAAAGTCGAGGCAGAAGATGGGGCCGGAGATGGCTGGAGTGTTTTTCTCAGATCGCATTTCCCATGTCGGCTTCTACTGTCAATTCATAATGACGGTTATAACAAATATGACAGAAATTTGATTTGGGGAGAACAAATGCATGCTCTTTTCTCACTTCACAGCGCAGACGAAGGAACCAGGCCAACAGTTCTTCTTAATCCTCCTGGTCACAAGCACATTTTTGCAACCGTAAAGACATTTTTGCTCACAAATATATTGTGTTGTAAATCTTATTATGGACCTCATGCTCTGCTGCCGAGTCACTTCCATGCGCTTCGGGGGACACTTGGTCCGAGGTGAGAAAAAGCCAGCTGCGATTTATTTATTTATGTGCATACAGAGATTGGCACACTTGATATTCAAAGTCCCTTGAGTCCATGCGCAACTTCCCATATTTCCTTTCTAATGGCCAGCGAGAGCACTCTTATTGGCTGACAACATGTGACATATATCAGAGAAGTATTTTAGAAGAGCACCAATAAGTATCACACCTTCTAGCAAAATAGGTGCAGGTTCACCCGACTAGTTTGAGAGGAAGCGCTCCTTCACCTGTGACATTCAAGCTTCCAGTGAGTCTGGTGATGCCGCTGCATACTGATGGAAATGCACACACCAGCTGGTGACAGCGGTGATGGCGTGCTGTTGACTGTCCCTTCCCATGGGGGGGGTGGGAGGGGGGGGGGCTTTTTCAAGGCTGAATCACTTCCTCTGACCACTGAGGTGAGCGCAAAGCACATAGAGACTCTTTGCTCCTGCCACATCCATGTTTTTTTTTAAAATAGGATACAACACGAAATGCAGCATTTTGCAGCACGTGGCCCGCACTGTCCCGCACATTAAGTATTAATTGAAGCTCTCAATAAAGTATTCAGTGGACCAAATGAAAAAGAAAAAATCAAAACAATATTTCAATCACTCACTCACTCACTCATAATTGTAGCCATTATCATCTTATCAAAGGGATTAGATAAGACGCACAGGGGTTGAAAAAAAAATTAAGATTTAGATTTTAAATTGAATGTGTTAAATCCTCTGTCCCCTATCGACTGTATTTCCATTGTACGTCAATTTGACTGATTGGTGAAAAGTGGCCATGGCAGTGTGGGAACCAGAGCAGCAAATAATTTGTCATGAGTCATCTGCTGCTGCGTTGCTTTTCAGAGTGAGGAAAGAATATATGGGTGGCTATTCGTTTACAGTCAAGTCTTAAAGTTTGTACAATAAAAAGGAAAATATTTTGTGTGCCCAAATTTTATAACCAGCACACGGTGACACCTATTGTTTTGGTTTTTGTTGTTGGGTTATACTATCTTGGTTTGCCAGTTTGCTGCAAGTCGCCGATGACCGTGAGCCGCGCGCCAACACGATTATAGGAAACACAATTACAGAGTTGAGGAAACGTGAAGCGTTGCACAAATATGAAGAGTAGCAGAAGACTTATTTTTGGACCTCTTATCTGAATGGGAGGAATTGTATTTATCTCCAGAAAATTGGGGGGTTGCAATGCGACACCTCCCAACCGCATGGTGCAAACTACCCTTGCGATTGTGACCGTTTGTTTGACTGTGGAACACAATGATTCAATTTCACTTCCTGGATTTGATTTCTAAACATATCAGAAGGTTACCAGCTTTCCGCAACGGATTACGTTCTGGAGATATGACACGTGTGTGCAGCTTGTGCGGAATAAGATATTTACTCGAGATAATTCCATTAGAGGCTTGTGTTAGTATAAAGCTCCCACACAGCCAGAATCCCTGCCTTTACTCACCTCCTACTAATGATTATTTTTTCCAGTGAGGAAAGCCCACAACATATTGTGTGCTTGCTCTCCATCCGGACTACATTAGTCACACTAACTCCTCGGGTATTGTGTGTTTTATGAGTGCGAGTAAATTTGCCAGCTTCTCTTCTGCAACAGTTTAAAAGCGCGGCGCGTGGAAGTGTGTTGAAGGTTGAGTAACACTCACACATATGGTCAGTCATTTCATCCTTCCAGCAGTCTGCGAGACAGATGATCACGCAACAAAGACACAGTCAATCTGACACTAAGAATTCAAACTACTCCGATCAATAAAGACACACAAACCGTATGAGAGAGTATGTTTGCCTCCAACGCAGTCAAGGCAAAACATGCAAACACCATACAATAAGGAAACAAAACACACACATGGGACAGTTCATTTTTGATGGATGTAAAGAGATTCATTCCGCGCACCTGAGTGTGGAGTAATCCTCATCTCCCCCCGCCGCTGCCGGAAACACGTCCACACCCGCTCTCATCCGCACACATCTTGCTGTTCTCCCAGTCCACAGCAGCATTGTTTGAATACAACCGCTTGCTGCCATGGTAACCAGAGCTGAGAGACGATGGGGATATAAATGAGAGATAGGGAGAGGCCATGACCTGTGCTCGATCATGACGTCACTGTCAGAAAGACAAAATGGCCCTCATTAGAAATCGATTTGATCACCATAAATGTGTAGCGTAGTTTTACGCCAGCTCCATTATGCGTCAGGGTCCAGACCCCGTCATTCCAGCGGTGTTTCGCTTTTTCTATTTCAGGCCATCATCGCACTCCTCATGACCCACTTCCTAGCTTTCGCAGCATATGATTGGTTCACCGATACTATTTTAAACCACACTGAGGCATTTATTCCCCCCCGCCTCCGAGTCACTGTCACTCCGAATCTACATAGCCGATCATCCACAAAATGAACGTGCTTTCCAGCAGGAGCATAGTTGTCCAGAACACATGTGCATGCTAAGGTATTAAATGTAACAAGAAATAGCCAGACAACATTTATGTAGATGAAAAGCAATCAAACTTCTGCGCTCCTTCCGCATGAAACCATGAGACCCCCCAACCCTCCCCGCTCCCTCATTTCACACCAACCGCAGAAGTGTAAGATCATAGACACAAAGAAAGATGTTGTGAACCATATCGTCATTTGCGTACCTGAGAACTCCAAATATTTGTCCTATGTACTGTATATTACCTCTTTTTTTTTTTTAATTCTCTGAACGAAGGCTCACAAGCTACAAGGTTAGCTTAGCGCATGCCGTATAAACAGTATAAATATACATATAAAAGATGAAAATTGTTGAAAAAAAGGGAATCAAATACATAAAAATGAAGACAAAATCTCAACGAATCCGCAATGACAAATCCTTGACCAGATAACAGGGTCAGAAGCCCCATTAAAACAAAAGTGCTACACTTCCATTCACCCCTGAGTCATTGCCTCTATCAGAGATGAGCGCGCGCGTAAGACATCTGCAAATGTCCCTTAAGTGAGAAAAGGTCTGTCTGTAATTAGTCACAATGAAGAGCACGTTTCAACTCATTCAAAACATCCATTATTGTGTGAGTCATGTCTCCTATGACCCAAATATTGTTTCCTCAACCACTGCCAAACAGCTGTGTCGCGTCTACCTACCCACCCAACATACACACTCGTGTTACACATGGCCTGCCATGTCACCTTTGGTCAGAGCAGACAAGTTTTTTACGTCAGCCGACGCTCACCGCAAAGCATCATCCTCATACAATGGCAGTTAACCCACTGATGAGCAACATAGGAAGAGTGAGACACAGAGTAGCGTCCCATCGGGATTTTAGATGGCTTTAGATGTTTGATGGGATGTTTCTGATGAGACATTTCACTGGCATGTCTTCTGATGGACTCACTGTGGCGTTCATGTGGCTAGTGTAAGCAAAGCGTGTCATTTTTTTAACATCTCATAGAAACTCAGGCAGCTATAAGGCCGAAATGATCCGCTTAGTGAAAATGCTCAGTATCTGTCCTCTTGAGTTCGTCCTGGCTTGACTACCAGGGACAAAAAGATGTTTGCAAGGTCATTTTTCACTCTTTCTCTCTTTGTCTCCAGGCTCAAACATGCCTCCCATCCAT